CGGCCACTGTACTCCAGTCTGGGTGACAGAGTGAGACTCCAACTCAAAAAAAAAAAAACCAGCCGGATGTGGTGGTGCATCTGTGGTTTCAGCTACTCGGAAGGCTGAGGCACAAGGATCACATGAATCCAGCAGGTCGAGGCTATGGTAACTGTGAGCATGCCACTGCACTCCAGCCAGGGCAATAGATTGAGACTCCAACTCAAAAAAAAAAAAAAAGACAAAAAAACAAAAACCTGTATGGACTGTAGGCAAATTATCTACCTCTTTTTTTTTGTTTGTTTGTTTTTCTTTTTTGAATGGGAGCCTCTGTCGCCCAGGCTGGAGGGCAGTGGCACGCTCACGGCCACCACAGCCTCGACCTCTGGGGCTCGGACGATCCTTCGGCCTCAGCCTTCTAGAAAAGTAGCTGGAACCAGAGGTGTGTGTCACCACGCCCAGCTTATATTGATTTATTATTGTGGAGACGAGGCCTTGCCACGTTGCCTGGCCTGGTCTCGAACCCCTGGGACTCAGGCGATACTCTTGCCTTGGCCTCCCAAAGTGCTGGGATTACAGGTGTGAGCCACCGCACCCGGCTACCTACTCCTTAAAATAATGACAGTAATCCCTCTCGGTTGTTTTTGGGGATTAAAAGAGATCATACTTAGCATAGAGGCTGGCACAGAGAAAGCATATCATAAATATAAGCTGTTATCACATTACTGCTATTTCAGAACATTCCACCTCTAGCCAACCCCTGTGTACTTCGTCCCAGAGCCTCTTATCGGAGCCTACACTCTATCTCTAGTCACTCCTACCCTTTGATATCTTTCTACGTTGGCGACTTCCAGGCCTCTGTCTCCAGCCCAGCGGAGCACAGGCCCAAGGGGCATTTTTCTGTGCGCCGTGGCTGTCCTCGGAGCTCTCCCACTATCACCATGTCACAGCTGAGCTCAGCATCTCCTCCACTGCTCCTCTTGGGTTCACCGTGAGGGGACAGTCTCCTCATCACAGGTCCGGATCCCAGGGCCGGCCCTTGCCCCCGCAATCCCCCAAGCTCTATTCTTGTGTATCTCCAGCTTCCAGCCCCTCCCCCTAAAGGAGCCTAAGCTCCCCACTCCTGGGGGCTGGAGGACTCTCGGAGACCATGAGAACCCCATGAAGGGATTTGGAGGCCCTGTGGAATGACAGAAAACTCGGGGGGCCTTATTAGCCACAGGCACCGCAAGAGGGTTTGGGGGCCCTTGACGGATCATGGGAGTCTTAGGAAGATTCTTTGGAGTGGGGTGTGTGTGTCACAGGAGACTCATGAGAATTTTAGGGAGCCATGGACCCTGAATATTTATCATAACACTATCAGAAGGGGATTAGCAGCCGGGCTCCTTGGCTCAGCCTGTAATCCCGCACCTTGGGAGGCTGAGGTGAGTGAATTGCCTGAGCCGGCGGGGTT